ACTACCATGCCATACCTGGCATTATTACCACTCCATTACCTGGAGATATAAAAAATAATTTTGGTCCTCTTGGAGTTTCATCTAATAGTCACCGTAGAGAGAGAACTTCTCTGTTGTCCCACACAGCCTGTCTCTCATTTCCTGATATTATTTCTAAAAGGTTCAAATGGCCCTGCTGATAACGATCATATGAGTTAATAGTAGTCTACCTGTCTATGTTACTCCCTGTAGTGGGAGCAGACTGCTAGCCTACTACCTTTTGCATCCTCTTCTAGCTTCTTGAAGACACGTTTACTTGCTCTGAAAATATCAGCAGACTGATTGTATCTTCAATCCCTGTAGGTTTCTGGGTTAACATGATTCAAATAAGGTAGATGGATATGTTTCCAGAATGTTATAGCAGATACTTCCAGTAACTGATCTGGGTAAATGCTGGTTGTGGAAATAGTTGCATTGCTTCTTTTTCAGCTTTTATAACCCCCCAGAAGCAACCTGGAGCCCTTAACTAAATGTTGGCGTTGTTTTTGTTTTTTCTTGGGTAACTCCTGCTCTGTGAGTCTTTATTTACTTATTTTTGACTGTGTTGGGTCTTCATTGCTGCATGCAGGCTTTCTCTAGTTGCGGCAAGGGGCGCTACTCTTCATTGCAGTGCACGGGCTTCTCACTGCAGTGGCTTTTCCTGTTGCGGAGCGTGGGCCCTAGGGCGCGCGGGCTTCAGTAGTTGTGGTGCGTGAGCTCAGTAGTTGTGGCTCGTGGGCGTAGTTGCTCTGCGGCATGTGGGATTTTCCCAGACCAGGGATCAAACCCATGTCCCCTGCATTGGCAGGAGGATTCTTAACCACTGTGCCACCAGGGAAGCCCCTCTGTGAGTCTTTAATTTGTCCTGGAAGAGTTGACACATTGTGGCCTCTGACTTATCCCCATGGATAAGTAAGAAATCTCAGGAGTTCCCTGGTGCCCTAGTGGTTAGGATTTGGCGTTCACTCCCTTGGCCTGGGTTCAGTCCCTGGTCGGGGACGTAAGATCCTGCAAGACTTGAGGTGCGGCCAAAAATTTTTTTCTTTCAAGAGAGAGGCAAAGGGAAACTTAGGATGATGGTACAAGGGGACCCAAGACCATACCTGGGCCCCTTTAGATGAGAGCAGTTGAGAAGGCTCTGGAGAGACTTTTCAGAAAGATAACTTGATGATATACCTAATGTTCTCATAGGTATTGAAAGGAGATTTATACAAGCGGGGGAGAGTTTGGGTGTCAAATTACTGATAAGTACATAGAAACTAAGGAAATGATTTAAATGGCAATAACTAATTCTAGGGAAATAAAATCTTGTGCAAGAAAGAGAATCAATAGATGGAAATAACATAACTGTGTAAACACTGTGTTACTATTGTTTACATAGGCATGATAATGTCAACACAGAATAATGATCTAACATTAAAAATATGATGGTAAAGATTGGGAAGATGGGTGGATAGCAAGTGTATGGTTTGGATGTTTGCTGGGCATGTGTACCGTGGGTGTGTGTATGTTGTATATGAGGTGTGGGGTGTGGGCAGGGGGACATGAGTGTGGGTGAAGGAGAGGAAATCCTCATCTTCTTTTGTGGGAAACCAACAAATAATACCTGAAACAGGCTCCCCTGGTGGCGCAGTGGTTAAGAAATCAAGCCAATGCAGGGGACACAGGTTCGAGCCCTGGTGCAGGAAGATCCCACATGCTGTGGAGCAACTGAGCCCGTGCGCCACAACCACTGAGCCTGCACTCTAGAGCCCACGAGCCACAACTACTGAGCCTGCGTGCCTAGAGCCCGAGCTCCACAACAAGAGAAGCCACTGCGGTGGGAAGCCTGCGCACCGCAACGAAGAGTAGCCCCCGCTCACCACAGCTAGAGAAAGCCCGTGCGCAGCAATGATGACACAACGCAGCCAAAAATAAATTAATTAATTAATTAATTTTAAAAAAAACCCTGAAACAGAAATATCTAGAAGCAGCAATAGAAGCATGTTGTTGGGTGCTGTGGATGTAATTGTAAAGAGAACCTGCTAAAAGAGTTGAAAGTTGTTATTCTGGGGAGTGGTCACAGTGGGGAGGGAGTTTTGTTTTCATAACAAACCTTAGAAAACTATTTGACTTGTTAAACCAGTGGTTCTCAGCCAGGAGCAATTTGCCCCCCAAGGGACATGGAACAATGTCTGAAGACATTTCTGGTTGTTATAATGGAGGGCCATAGGGGTGCTACTGGCATCTAGTGGGTGGAGGCCAGGGATGCTGCTAAACATCTTACAGTGCACAGGACAGCCCCACAACGAAGAATTACCCTGCCCCAAATGTCAATAGTGCCAAGCCAGAGAAACCCTGCTTTAAATTCTGTGCGTGCACTACTTTGATACCGTACAAATTAGGAAAGAGGGAGGGGGTAGGGAGCCTCCTGCAACCTGTGATTGGACCTCGATAAGGGTGAGTGGGGTTTCAGAAGCAAAAGGGCTCGTAACACAGCCAGGGTAGGGGTAGGGAGGGTTTCCCAGAGGTAACAACGAAGATAATTTTTTTTTTTTTTTTTTGGCGGTATGTGGTCCTCTCACTGTTGTGGCCTCTCCCGTTGCGGAGCACAGGCTCCAGACGCGCAGGCTCAACGGCCACGGCTCATGGGCCCAGCCGCTCCGCGGCATGTGGGATCTTCCCGGACCAGGGCACGAACCCGTGTCCCCTGCATCGGCAGGCGGACTCTCAACCACTGCGCCACCAGGGAAGCCCAACGAAGATAAATTTTAAAGGACAGTAAGATATGAGCTGAATGTGGGGCTAGGAGATTGAAAAGCTAACCATTTTCTAAATCAAATCATATTTAAGTTAACAACATTAGCATATATACTCCAGCTCTGGGTATGTCATCTCTCTGATTAAAGCACTATTAGAACTTACAGTAAAATTTACCTAGACATAAGCAATAAGAGCTAAAGAAAGGAGTCAGCAGATACGACAACCATAAGACATTTCCCTAATTTTGCTCCTAATTTGACACTGAGATCCCTGGCAGCCAGTTCAAAAGGAACAATTCTATTAAGTATATGGTTTCTGTTACCAGGAAGGAGGAAGCCTAGCAGACTCTCTTGGGAAACAGAGCTTTCCCAACTGGCACGGGACTTATTTATTCACTGGAGCTGCAGGCAGAGAGGCTAAGATACCTGATAGACACATCGGCAACACCCATGACTTGCAAAGGCAGCACCACCTTGCATAGGCATCTTCCTAACTTGATGGCTTCTGTAAAAGCAGAACGAATGAAATTAAAAAGCAACTCAGTAAAAAGTGATTTCCAGGGGTTCATAGTGTAGAGCCTTCTGGGGATGACATTATAAAGTGAAATGACTCTTTTATAAAGTAGTCTGATAATCCATTCTAAATAGTTGAAAAAATATTCCTATTCTCTCACCTAACAATCAGTTCTGGGATTTTATCCTGAGGAAACAGATAAAAACTAAACATGCACGTGTGCTTATTAGAATCTTTTACTTCTAGTGGCACAATCATAGAAGTGACCTAAAAAAACAATAATTGGGCAGTTTTTCCAAATTATATAAGAAATACATACATACTTTCTAACTAAAAATTCAAACGTCACAGACAAAGCTAAAATCCCCCCTGACCATCTGTATTGTCCCTACTTCCAGGCCCCCCTCCTAGGGTAACCACAATTATGGGTTTGTTATATTTCTCTCCAAATCTTTTTTCTCTTCACTTAAATATTAAGTACATACATACATAAGTATGTACATGTAGAAATCGCTATTTCATTTTACATAGAGACTTTATAATCAAATGGTGTCATAGTCTAAATATGGTTCTACAACTTGCTGTTTTACCTAATACTATATCTTGGAGGTTCTTATATCAGTATATTTAGATCTCCCTCATTCTTTTTAACTGCTGCGTAATATTCCATTGGTGAAAGTTTCATGGTCTGTTTAACTATTCCAGTATTACTCTGGTCACTGTCACAGCACTGACATACACATGAGGGCATATATACGCATGTCACACTGCTGGGTTATAGGGGTGTAGGGTTTTTATTTTTATACCATACACTTTCTTTTAATTTGCTTTTCTCTGATTATAAGTAGTATTACAAGTGAAATTAACAACACTTCATATTTTGGCTACTTGGACATTTATATTTCCTTTACTGTGAACTTCTCCATCATTCTCTGTAGAAAATATTTTCTCCCAGTGTGTCCCTTGTCCTTTAAACATTATTTATGGTACCTAAGTCAGAAAGATATTTTAATCTTTATTTATTTATTTTTTTTGCTTTTATAATTTGTGTTTATTCCACATTTATAAAGATATTCTCTTTGTTTTTATTTTGGTGACTGTTTTGAAGTACTAGTGTAATTTTATTCTTTTACTAATGGGAGAGACCATTCTCCTGGCCCAGCCTATGGAATACTTCATCTTTTTGTCATTTATTTGAAATGTAGCATTTATTAGAGATTAAATTATAATAGCTATGGTTCCATCCTGTCTGTGAATCTTGTATCCCTGCACTAATACCAGCTGTTGTTAATTACTCTTCATAGAGGGAGAATATTTAAATAGGTGATGCTAAATCTCCCTTAGATGACTAAGATTAATGAATATTTTAAAAGCTTAGTGAATATGAAAACTATATGGTAAAATAAGTGTATCTGCATAAAATAATGAAGTAAAATCTGAGTATAAAATTTTATATACACCATACTGTTAAATAGGCGAAAATATGCATGCATACGCACAAGGACTAAAATGAGTTTGAAGAAATGAAAGCAGTTACATAAGGATGGACAAAATGCAGTCCACTGACTTTATTTTTAAATTTTGTTTCAAGCTATCGTAATGTTTTCTTAATAAGAAAAAAATTTCCCAATGTCCCCCAGCCATGAGAGATTTTGTGCTCATTTTTGCCATCTCACGGGGCTCATCCTGATCCATTCTTCATGCCTGTTTTCTACTTGTGGTTCCAGATAAAACCTACGTGGTTGACTTGAGTAACGAGCAAGCCATGTCGCTGACCATCGAGCAACGGCCCAGCAAACTGAGCCGCAAATTTGTCCCCGGCTGCTTCGTGTGTCTGGACTCTCGGACCTGCAGCACCAACCTCACCCTGACAGCTGGCTCCAAACACAAGATCTCCTTCCTTTGTGATGATCTGACACGCCTGTGGATCAACGCCGAGAAAACCATAAGTACGCCCCTGCCCCTTCAGTGTGCTCCTCCCGGGCTGTGGGAGTTCTCCCCCCTCGCCGTGGGAGTTCTCCCCCCTCACCCTGTCTTAGTGGGGTCCACTGGGTGGTTTGTAAATAGTATGATCAGAAATGCCCCTGGCAGTGAGGGTGAGCAAGGGCAACCAAGAAGCACAGAGCAAGGTGGAGACACACCCACTTTGAGACCAGCAGCCTCCGTGGGAACATGCATCTTTCAGAAGCAAGTGGCATCCCCCGTGTCCATGCTCACGTCTCCTCTGTCCAGCCTCCAGTCTCCCTCCTGTGAAATCCTCGTAGCCTTCCCCAACCTCCCCCATGCGCATGCCCCCTGCTTCCACGCTCCCTGCTCACTTGTCTTCTGTTGCATGAGACCAAGTCTTGAGCTCAAAAACTTTGGCTTCTTCCATTTTTTATCCCTTTAGCTACTAGCCATGCCCGACATGGGCTAGTCACATAGAAATGTTTAATCAGTGGAGGGCAGCAAAACCAATAGTCACCTCCTTGCTGGGCCACCATCATCTCTGATGTGGATGCTCTTAGGGTCTCCACTGAGGCAGTAGCTAAAGCCGCAAGAGGCAAAGCAACCAGCCCGAGGCCACCCCATTAGGAAGCGGCAGAGCTGAAACGCCAGCTGAGATCTCCCCAACTCTGCTCCCAGCTCTAACCATTAGGCGAACTGCCTCCCCACAGGCAGGGACACTGGGCAGCAGGGCTGGGTGAAGGGAAAAACCTGTACCCTGCCCACGTGGCACTTAGCATCTAAGACACAGGTTGTCTTAGTTGAGAACTTGAGCAAACAAGAAGAGAAAATTTCAACCCTGAATACTCCCCAGAAGTTGTTCTGCCAGTTTAGTGGAGAGTAAGAATGCAAGAGCAGGAGGGAAGCTAGGAAAGGAGCGTCAAGGAGGCAGGAGCGCAGGACAGAGCAGGAGAGGAGAGACCAAAGGGAAAAGCAAGAAAGCCTCGGGCTGACTTGAGAGCTGGAGAGGATGCACTTCCGGTTTCCTCCCAGCCTGGGTACCACGAACCCCTCTTTCGTAGGCTGCCTGGACCACCGGTACTGCCACAGGAAGTCCTACTCGCTCCAGGTGCCGTGGTACATCCTCCAGCTGCCTGTGCAGCTGCACGACTTCTCCTGGAAGCTGCTGGTGCCCAAAGACAGCATCAGCCTGGCACTGGTGCCTGCCCAGAAGCTGCAGCAGCACACTCACGAGAGGGTTTGCAACACCAGCTTCAGCTACCTCGTGGCCAGTGCCGTTCCCGGCCAGGACCTTTACTTCGGCTCCTTCTGCTCTGGAGGCTCCATCGAGCAGATTCAGGTGAAGCAGAACGTCTCGGTGACCCTCCGTACCTTTGCCCCCAGCTTCCAGCAAGAGGCCTCCAGGCAGAGCCTGACCGTGTCCTTTGTCCCCCACTTTAAAGGTAAGGTGGTCTTTCACTCTCTCCCCATCTCGATGCCCTCTTAGCCTTTCTTATGGGGACACTTATCTTATTTTGGTTTTCTGATCGTCTCAATTGTCAATTTGAAGAGAAGGGATAGCTGAGTGGGCTGTTCCTTATACAAGATGATGAGTCCTAATCCCGACTTTACCATTAACCTAGTGTGGAAAATTCCAGGAGTTAGAAATAAGACTGTCTGACAGTGGGAGGTGATGGTTGGTAGGCAGCAGAACAAATAATCGGGTTCGAGGCTTTTTTGGAAGCAGGCAGGGCATAAATGAGAACTAACCAAATATTCCCAAGTCCTGGATTCTTGAAGTGGTAACATACAAATCCTTATGCAGGTATTTTTATGATTCTGCTTTGACAATTCAGAACGCAGTTCGGAGGGCACAGAGGAAGGAATACTGGGAGAGAGATGAATCTCTAGAGCGTTCTCCTGCATGGGGGAGCAGACCCCTCCCGGGAGGCTAATGTATCATCTTCTCAGGCAGCAAGTGAGGTTTAAATTGGTCACAACGGTGAACTCTACATTGTTGATATTAACATTCACAGTCACCACTACAAGTTGCTAAGTTCATTTTTAAATTGACCAAGACCTTAATTCAAGGTTTACCCTGTAATTTTGTTCTCAGAGGCATGAGTGGGAGGGAAATGAATCTGGCCGTAAGATTAAGGTCATTCCAAGTTTCCTGGTATCTCCAAGGTTACCAGAGAAACTCCTTCTGGGGAGTCTTTGAAAATAAGACACACCATCCTCAGTGTGGAGTGTTGGGGTTTTATCTCACCTGAAGATAAGGAGTGGATTAGTTGACATGTCAGAGACCCTTTCAACTTTGCAACCAGAAAGAATTCTTCCCAGAACCTGAAGTTCTCTAAATCTCCAAAATAGAAATCAGTGTACACCAGTCCCACCATGGAGCAGGGCGTTGGACAGATGTTAGCTCCATTGAGGGCATTTCTGAAAGGAAGCTGAGACAACCACCAGTTTGGCAAACTGGCCTGTTTTGTGTTTGTTTGTTTGGTTGGTTGTTTGGTTGGTTTTTTCAAAAGGCCCGAGAACCTAATCTGAGACTCTATTCCTTTGCTGACCAATATTGTAGCCACTGGCCACACGTGGCAATTTAAATTTAAATTAATAGTAAACAAAATTAAAAATTCAGGTCTTCAGTCACATCAAGCACGTTCCAAGTCTTCAACAGACACATGCTGCTGTGGCTACTCTTAGCCAGTGCAGATCCAGAGCCTCTCCATCATGGCAGGAAGCTCTGTAGTCTGGACAGTATAGCATCATCTCCTCCACCCTCCTATTCTCTCCATCCTGATTGAGTGAAACAACATCTGAGTGGATTCTCTTCCTTTTCCTGCAGAGGAAGGTATTTTCACAGTGACCCTGGACACGAAAAGCAAGGTCTACCTGAGGACCCCTAACTGGGACAAGGGCCTACCATCCCTCACCTCCGTGTCCTGGAACATCAGCGTGCCCCAAGACCAGGTGGCCTGCCTGACCTTCCTCAAAGAGCGGACGGGCGTGGTCTGCCAGACAGGGCGTGCGTTCATGATCATCCAGGAGCAGCGGGCCCACACCGAGGAGATCTTCAGCCTGGAGGAGGAGGTGCTGCCCAAGCCAAGCTTCCGCTCTCACAGCTTCTGGGTCAACATCTCCAACTGCAGCCCCATGAGCAAGAAGCAGCTGGACCTGCTTTTCTGGGTCTCGCTTACCCCAAGGACCATGGGTAAGGTCTTTTGGGGGTGGTGGTGGATAGCAGTTGGTAGCTGAGGGATCAGGAGCAAGACTGGAAGGCAAGCCAGAAAGCATGGATTTGAGTCCTGGCTGTCCATGTATCAGTCAGCTATTGTGTCAATAATACTGTATAACAAACCACCCCAGAACTCAGTGGCTTAAAAACAGCCATTTGTTATTGCTCACATGTTGGCTGGGCAGTTCTGAGCTGGGCTTGTCAGGGTTCATTCACTCAAGCAACTGTGGGCAGCTGCAGGTTGGTTAGAGGACTTTGTCAGTCTTGGCCGGGCACTCTCACATGTCTGGGGCCCAGCCAAGATCAGCCGTGATAACTGGGATTCCTTGGCTCTCCTCAGCATGGTCTCTTATCCTCCAAACTGGGGCCTGTTCTCATGGCAGAGGCAGAGAGATCCAAGAGAGGCTGCGGGAAGCATGCAAGGTGTCCTGACGCTTAGGTTAGGAATTCATACCCTGTCCCTTTGACAGCATTGGTTTGGTCAGCCCAGATTCAAGGGGTGGACAGGTAGACTCCATCTCTTGATGGGAGGAGCTGCAGGATCACACAGTAAATAAAGGACATGGGTCAGGGCAGGGGAAGAATTAGGGCATTTTGGTAGTCAATCTACTATTAACCTCTTTCTGACATAGGGGAAGTCTCTTTACTCCTCTGATCGTCCTCTGCAGAGGATAGATGATTGTAACTACCCCATAAAATTATCACTGGGGATTCAGTGTTGGTGATTAAACTGTGAGGACCTGGAAAGTGTGACACAGATACATGATGCTGGCATTTTTTATTTAGTCCAGTGAAACATTAGAATCCTTGAATGCCCTCAGTCGTGGGCCTCAGAGCCATGATGAGGATTTTGCCTTTATGCCCAAAGTGGTAGTATCCACTGAAGAGTTTCAGGCAACCTGTGGTGGGGCCGTGTTAGCCCTTGATTCCAAGATAGTCACAGAGCACCACAGAATGTTGGAACCACGGAGGTTTTTTTCCCCAGCCCCTTCCCTTCTGGGTGGTCAGATAGACTGTGTGTCCACCCAAGGCCACACAGGTGGTTAGCAGCAAGAGAACCGACAGGGACCAGAAGCCACAAGTGAAAAGCTCGCCCACGCTCTCAGATTAGCTCCTGAGTTTTCTTCCTCTCTTACATTCATTTTCTGTCATTTATTTCTAGTCCTATTTTCTCACAGTCTCACCTTTTGTTTTCTTATTGAACAAGCCAGAAATCCTAAATCCTGGTTTGGTGCAGGGCTCTCTCTCTGATATATTTTCTTTTTCCTTTGTACAACTGTAGAAGGACAGCACACATGAAACAACCCTCTCCTTAACTCCTTCACCTCTGACTTTTGACTCCCTGCTTTCTTCTACACCCCCTGCTCTTCTCTCCTCCAACATGGGCTGTGGCGATCAGGGGAGCACAGCTGGGATAGGCCAGGAGTAGCCTTTGGAATAGATCTGGTAGGTCCCCCAGTTTGTTTTAGTTATCTTTCACTGCATAACAAACTATTCCAAGATTTAGTGGCTTAGACAATAACCATTTTTTTTTTGCTCACAATTCCATGGGTCAGGAATTTGGATGGAGCACAGCAGGTGGCTCATCTCTGCTCTAAGATATGAGGGGCCTCAGCCAGATGCCTTGAATAGCTAGAGGGGGGCTGGGATGGTTCACCTTTGCTCACTTTCAAGGCTGGGAGCCTTGGTTTGTCTTCCTCATGGAGTCTCCACATGGCTACTTGGGCTTCCTCACAGCATGGTCTCAGCATAGTCAGACTTCTTACATGGTGGCTGGCTTTTCCTCAGGAAGCGCAGGAAGCTGCCAGGTTTCTAAAAGGTTAGGTCCACACCAGCACAGCCCATATTCAAGAGGAAAGGAAACAGATTCCCCTTAAAGTGAGGAGCAGCATGTGCGTACGAGGAGGGAAGGAATGGATGGTAGCCATCTTTGAAGACTGTCTACTGGAGCTCATCACCAGCCTGACACCAAGTGTCTCCCCATTCTCCTCCCTTGTGTCTCTGTTCACAGACCTGACTGTCATCATCCTCGCGGTGGTGGGAGGTGGCACCTTACTGCTGTTTGCCCTCGGACTCATCATTTGCTTTGTGAAAAAGAAGTAGGTGGAATTTCTCGAACTGTCTTCACCTGAGCTGACACCTCCTTACATCACACAGACCAGAGCTGTCATTAATCATTGACTTTTTTCCTTGCTTTCCATTTTCCCCCACAAAGATCAATGTTAAATAATATTGCCAGGGCGGGTACTTCCCTAGCGGTCCAGTGGTTAAGACTCCGTGCTTCCAGTGCAGGGGGCGCCGGTTCAATCCCTGGTCGGGGAACTAAGGTCCCACGTGCTATGCAGTGCGGCCAAAAAAATAAATATTGCAGGGGGTGAATTCCCTGGCAGTCCAGCAATTAGGACTCCAACCTTTCACTGCCGAGGGTGCGGGTTGGATCCCTGTTTGGAGAACTAAGATCCTGCAAGCCACCTGGCGTGGCCAAAAAAAGGAGAAGTGGAAAATAAATAATATTGCTGGATGTGAATTATGCTTGGAGGGGGAAAAAATACCCTACCTAGTAGGAAAAAAAATACACATGCGGTGACATTTTAGCCTGCAGTTTTACGCAGCTGCCTCAGCATAAGTCCCCTGTGAATCATTTACTGTCTGCTCATTAGACTGTGGTCCTCACAGGGGTGATCTTGGCAGGAAAACGCTCCCGTAGACCCTGCCAGACCAGGCCTGTGAACCCGCTCCCCCTGTCACCTTGAGGAAAACACACTCACGCTGCCCAGCTTGTTCTCCTCCAGTTTCCTAAACAAACTGTCTGTTTTATGCTTGTTTATTGGCCTCCAGACAAGCATCAAAAAGCCAGCCCTGTGGGCAAGAGGAAGGAAGACCCAGTTAACTGACTCAGTCTCACCTTCCACCCCCTCAGGATAACAGCTTCTGTTTTATGAGAGGAAAGTGCTGACCTTTTTAGACAGAGTACGTGCTGCTGCCAGATTTCATCAGTTCTGCTCCTATTTCTAACTAAAGCCATGGGGACGGGGGGAAGCTATTTCCCTTAGCAAAAAACCAAAAAAAAATTTTTTTTATTAACTGGGGCCATGAGCAAACAATTGAAATTGCTGATCAGAAATGTCTCTACTGATGAGGGTGGGTTGGCAGGTTCAGGGGGAGGCGTCTTCTCTGTGAAATGTCACTGCACACATCTGGCATGAGGGAAAAGGACTTCTTTTAAAGAAACATCATTGTATCACTCCTCTCAGGAAACTTTCCTGTCTGGGGTGCACAGTATGTTCCACCCAGATGGGAAAGCATGGCATTAACACTGGGCCCCAGGTTCCTCATCAGGAGGGAATTGGACGAGGGGAGGGGCCAGCACTTGCCTCCATCCCTAAAGTGCCCCAGTCCCGGCCTGGGAATTACCAGCCCCTGCCTTGCTGTGGGGGAGGCCACTGGCTGGCAGGTTTGCATAAGGCTTGTCTGTCCCCAAGTTGGGTTGGGAGGGAGGACAGGTTCCTGCCATGAGAAGGAGGGCAGACAGTGCCGTTGAACTTGGTCATTAAGCATGTATTTCCTGAGGGTCTCCTGGGCCCTAGGAACCAGGAGAGGTGCTGGGGATACACAAGACACAGTCTTTTCTCCTGCCGTCTATGGGGGCAGAGGGACTAAAGAAGCAGGCAAATAAGGAGGCGGTGTCAGGACAGTGTGAGAAGAGCTTGGTGGGGACAAGCAAGGTGCTGTAGGAGCACATGGGCGGAGCATTGCTACAAGACTTCAGGCTGGAGGCCTTGCAGCCTGTCATCCTGGCCAGGGAACCCAGTGTTACAAGCTACATGTACTAGATTTATTTTTATCTCAGAAAAGTACAGGTTCACAATTAGTGAACCGCCAGCCATGCATTATGTGGTCCATTATGCTAATTGAGCTACTGTCCTCCATTTGAATCTCTGGTCAGCTAAAAAGTCAGCATCCCCTGCTTTTCACTGGTGGAGATGGAGGGCCAGGCTTTGTTTTCCGAGGCAGGGAGTGCAAATGCCCATCCATGTCCAATACCAAAGAACATTACAAACCAAGCATTAATGGTGTTAGGGAGGAACCCGGGCACCCCAGCCTGACTTCTGTCTTCTTTGTAGCTCTTTCCTCTTTTGGAGGTTACTGCTGAAGGGACTGGATCCCTCTACTGATGCTGAGTCCTACTGTCCCCAACTCCAGCTAAAAACTAAGATACAACCTTCCTGAGTGTCGTATGCTATCATTTAGAAACTAGATGGTCATAGTTTGTGCTCATGCAAAACTGAGATGAAGCATTAGCTACAGGAAAGAACTCAGAGAGTCATAGAAGGTTGGCCTAGGTACACCCGTGCTTGATGTGGTTGGTTTGGGACACCACCTGTCTCTGCTAGGAAAGAGAGGTTGTCAGATGTCTCTACCTTTGGATACCACGCAGGTATCAAAGCAAACTCAGGCACAGAGGGTGTTAACAGTGCCCTCTCTAAACCACTCTCTGCTCCTGTTTCCACCTTAAAAACTGGAGACAGAAGCTGGTCCCTTTCTAACTGTTCGCTGAGGACAGCAGTTTCAGTTTCAAACGCTAAGCTATTTGAGGGACTTGGGGGAGACCCAGTCAGAACCCTGAATGATCTTCATTCCAGTAGGGATGTACAGTTGGTGAGCCTCTAAGATCGTTTTCTTCCTGACTCCTGTCTTGTTCCCTTCCTCAGTAGGAAAAAGAAGATCAACAAGGGCCCAGCTGTAGGTATCTACAATGGTAACGTCAATACCCAGATGCCGATGCAGCCAAAAACGTTTCAGAAAAGACGGAAGGACAACGAATCCCACGTGTATGCCGAAATCGATGACACCATGGTGTATGGGCATCTGCTGCAGGATCCCAAAGGGTCCTTCCTCCAGCCAAAGGTGGACACCTACCGGCCCTTCCAGGGCCCCACAGGGGACTGCCCTCCCTCCCCACCCCGCATATGCTCCAGGGCTCCAACTGCGAAGTTGACCAAAGATGAGCCATCCTCTGGCTTCCTTTCTGAGTCTGAGAGCGAACCGTACACCTTCTCCTACCCCAACGACAGGAATATAAGCAATGGGAACACAGACCCTCCCTTGCTAGAAACCTATGAGACCATGGAGCCTGGGGAATAACTTGGACCCACCCCTAAGACTTGACATAAAGCAGGGCACTGAGATGCCCTTTAGGGTTCCCACCCAGAAATCCTGAAGAAGAGGAATTCTGTGGAAGGACAGCAGGAGGTTTTTCTGGATGCCACCAACTTCTGATTTCCAAGTGGACTCATTCCAGTGCTGAGACATTGAAAATGATGAATTGTGATCTGGATACAATCATCACAGTGAAAGTCCTTCTAAACTCAGGTTGGGTTGTAACCAGTCCATAATGAGAGGGGAGAGGCTGAATCACGCAGGACAGGGATGCAGTGAGCCCTGGATTTGGATTTGGATTTGGATTTGGATTTAGACTTCTTCAGGTTGAGAGTGCCAACCCCTAGGAGCCCACGGAGACCCGTGCTCTCACTGGGGTCCCCTGGGTGGAAATGTCAGTATGCTTTATTATATTTATTTGGTGGTCCTGTGTATTTAAGAAGTCAAATGTATAGCCATGCAGCTCTTTTCACCTGACGTAGTGACAGCTCACGCTAACTGGTTAGATGGCTGGGTTTTGACTTCTGCTGACCACTAGATAAACATGTGCTTGTCCCCTGGGAGGTGGGAATAATTTGCAGTCTGTCCAGCCAGAAAAGGGCGTGCGTGTTTGAGGGTACTGACGCACATCTGCTTTGATAAGAGACTTGCTGGTTCTCTTGCTCTGCGTGTGGTTATCCTACCACAGAAATCCATCTTGAGTCCCATTGTCCTTTGACCTAGAAGTAAGAGAAATTTCATGGAATTGCCATGTGTGGCTCTCCCAGCTGCAGCAATACTTTAGCATCTAAATAGAAATTTAGAGAGTATTTTCATCCTCTAAAAACATTGAAGGATACACCAAAGGGTGGCCACCTGTATTAGTTTCCTAATGCTACTGCAACAAATTACCACAAGCATGGTGGCTTAAAAGAACGCAAATTTCCTATCTCAGGGCTCTGGAGATCAGAAGCACAAAATGGGTTTCACTGAGCTAAAATCCATGTGTCAGCAGAGCTGTGCTCCTTCTGGAGTCTCTAGGGGAGAATCCATCTCCTTGCCTTTTCCAGTTTGTAGAGGCTGCTCACATTCCTTGCCTCAGATGGTGGCAGTGTGACACTCTTGCTTCCCTCTTTTACTGACAAGGACCTTTCACTTATAAAGCCCGGCCGGATAATCCAGAATTATCTCCCCATCTCAAGATCTTTAATTACACTGAAAAGTCCCTTCTGCCCTGTAAGGTAACATATCCACAGGTGCTGGGGATTAGGACATGGACCATTATTCTGCCTACCACACCTTTCCTGCCCCTGCAGGAGAGACTGGAGAATGATCCAGCCTACAGGTGTGTTTTGTTTAGCCTGCGCATCTTTTTAAAGAGTTAGTCACCAACATTTAAAATTATAAAATGTTTACATAAAATTCTGGATCAGAAGGTCTGGCCATGCTGCGGCTCACATTCTCACCGAGAAACAACCAGCTGGAGTTGAAACGCAGCTCATCTTTAGATGTGGCATCTGGTTCACCAGTTCACCACAGGGCCCACCAACCCTGTCACCTCACACACTGAGGCTGAGGGTCTGCTGCTATTGGTCAACACCCTGCAGAGTTGCTTCTCATAATGAAATGGAAAGTTCAAGACTCATATCTCATATGAAATAAGAAGACAATTCTTAAGGCTGATGGGTGCTTCAGGAAAGTTTCTTTTACACACAGCCCACATCCTTCATTTATACTAATTACCAGCCCAGCTCCTGTGGGCATTTGCCTTTGTGGCCCCTGTTCTCATCTGGGAGGAGAAGGATTGTGTTATGGCTTGTCAGTACAGTCCCAGGTCGATACTTCTGTGGCAAAACCTCCTTTAAAAAGTAGATGTAGGGCTTCCCTGGTGGCGCAGTGGTTAAAGAATCTGCCTGCCAATGCAGGGTACATGGGTTCAAACCCTGGTCCAGGAGGATCCCACATGCCACAGAGCAACTAAGACCGAGCGCCACAACTACTGAGCCTGCACTCTAGAGCCCACGAGCCACAACTACTGAACCCACATGCCACAACTACTGAAGCCTACGCGCCCTAGAGCCCGTGCTCCGCAACAAGAGAAGCCACTGCAATGAGACGCCCGCTCACCATAACAAAGAGTAGCCCCCACTCGCCGTAACTAGAGAAAGCCCGCGCGCAGCAACAAAGACCCAATGCAGCCAAAAATAAATAAATTTTAAAAAAATAAAATGAATTAACTTTAAAAAAAAAAAGAAAAGTAGATGCAGGTCGTCGTGTTCAGTGACTTCACCTTGGAAATACACTGCCCAGGCTTGTCCACTTGCTACTTTGCCTCCATGAAAAGGAGTTTTGCAATCTCCTAAATGGTGTGTTCCAGGGTTTTTTTTAACTCTTTCCAGGAGGAAGAGTATGTTGGGGTTTTTTAAATTATGCCTTCAGTGCTGACAGTGACACCTTTACTTCTGAAAAGCTGGCTCTGCCCCGGGACCCTCAGCGTCGACCTGAGATGCTGGCAAACACCCTCCAGGAAGGGCCAGAGGAGGGCTCTGCCTTCCTTCCCTCTGCTGAAATTGTATCAATATTTAAAATCATCGTTGGGGCCCTGGCCCTCCATTCTCTGCCTTCTCTGACCTCCTGGCTGCTTCTGACAGTCACTCAGTCAGTGCTCTGAATCCCACCCTTAAAGCATGGCTGTCATCACACGCCACCTTTACTCACAAGGGCACCACGTGGCCATTTTCTTTTAACCGAGAGCTCAAAACTCCAGGCCAAGTTGCTGTCTTCCTGAGACCTCAGGTGGATTTAATGTTTTCCAAAGACATGCCTCCTTGAAGGGGCCAGCCCGACATACCCCTGGCTCTTTCCTTTAAAGCCCAGGCCCCACTTCTGTAAAATATTTCAGGGTCACTGAAAACCAAACACATTTGTTGAAGCCTAGCTTGTGCCAGCACAGTATCCTCCACGCTGGGTCTGCTGATGCCGGGCTGCCCTCACGCCCATCCTCTGTACCTGTGACAAAGCCCGACTCAGACAGGACTGGTTAATGCTGCAGTCATTTTGCACGGGAGGTCGATGTCTCAAGGAAGAGTCAAGGGGGAAAAGCATAAGTCCGTGGAACATAACCTGGGTCAAGGTTGGGACTGATTTGTGTGGATCTGCAATGCTTAACTCAAAATAATTTATTTGTTGTATATACTTTTGAGGCAGCATTTTATTCATTTCCTACACTTTTTTAAATAAACAAATATACAGAAAAAAAGGCATCAGGTTGTTTAAATGCTTTGGCGACCTGTCCCCTGGTTCAGCTGAGGCCCTCATTTCCCAGGTTCAACATGGGCTCAGCAGATTCCATCTTCTCTATGTGTTTATGGTCCAGCAAGCTGGACTCCGGGCTGCCGATGAGTGACTGAGAGGCCAGAGTTTGTTCTGTTCTTGTTGAGGCAACCTGAGCCCCCTCTGTGTGACCCTCCCAATACCTGACCCCCACAGAGGCCACCCTTGCCACTGACTGCTCTACACCCAGTGCAGGTCACCAGCCACCAGAAAGGCAGTGGGAGAGGGAAGCTCCAAGCAGGTCCCCACCACCTGCCATGCACTTGGAGGGGAGACCCAAGTACACGGAGGAGACCGGGCGCTGCTGTGTAACCACAGCAGACCTTAGTGACTTAAGAACAATCACATATTTTGCCACAAACCCACGTTGAGCAGGGATCAGCAGGGATGGCTTATCTCTGCTCCGTGTGGCCTTTCTGGAGCAGCTCAACTAGAATCCACTTTCAAAATGGTGCATCACACAGCTGGCAAGTTATTGCTGGCTGCCAGCTGGGAGCATTGATTCCTCATCACGTGGACCACTCACTCCACAGGGCTTTCTGGGCTTCTTCACAACACAGAGGCTCGCTTCCCAGGGCGAGTGTTCCCAGCATCAGGATGTCAGAGCTGCTAGTCCCTCAAGGCCTGGGCCTGGAAGCTGGCACAGTGTCACATCCATTCTAGCCTATGGGTGTGTCAGTCTCAGAGCCTCAGATTTAAGGGGATGCATATATTGCATCATAAGAGCATTAAATTTGTAGAGAAGTGACAAGACAAAGGAAAAGTACTTTGAGCTTCTAGGAGTGAGTGGCAAATTGTGAAAAGGTAAATAAACGGGGGGAGTTAATGGAAAATACGGGTTTTCGCAAGGTGTGTTGTATAGATTTCTCTGCTGTCATCTCTGGGCTAAGAGTCTAGAGTTGTCTCTGGTGATTAAAGAATCAAACTGTCCTTCCCGGTAGAGAGGGAGAGGACAGAGAATTTTTCTTGTGTCCGTTTCTTCTTAATTGCCTTCAGCTCAAAATGATCCTTACACCAGGCTTGCATATTTTGGGGTGGGATACTCTGAATCCCTCATTCTCCCATTTGAAACATAAATAAGTTTCATATATTAAAAGTTGAATTGGCAGCTGTGCAGAGAGATTTGGGTTCGAAGTATTGAAATAAGAGATCTACAAAGGCGGAAGCACCATAGATGGAACAAGGGGAAAAGAGCAAATCTAAGTATATTGCCCCATATCTTACTGAATCAGTCTCTTAGACGTGGGAGTAAGTCACTCTGGTGAAACAGTTGTGTTTCATTTCAGGAAATGGTACTGCAGGTGGGAGCAGGGCGCCCACTTAAGTTAAGCCTCTATATAGTGTGAGCAATCAGGCACTTAATGAGGGATATTTCTATAGAAAATGAAGGGGGAAAAGGGCTAATGGTTAGAACAAACTGTAACCTCAGGTTTTGAGTCCAGAAGGTAGTTAGAAGATTTCTAGATGTTGGGCTCAAAGCATGCATTTATTTATTTATTTATTTATCTTCCAGTTTTATTGAGATAATAATTAACATACAACACTGTATTAGTTTAAGGTATACAGCATAATGATTTGACTGACATACATCATGAAATGGTTACCACAATAAGTTTAGTGAACATCCATCATTTCATATATATACAAAATTTAAAAAAAATTTTTTCTTGTGATGAGAACTCAGGATTTACTCTCTTAACTTTTGTATATAACATACAGCAGTGTTAAGTATATTAGTCGTGCTGTACATTACATCCCTAGTACTTATTTATCTTATAACTGGAAGTTTGTACCTTTTGATCACCTTCATCCAACTCCCCCCTCCCCCACTCTCCTGCCTCGTTCCATAACTTTTTTTCTTTTTTTTAACATCTTTTTTGGAGTATAATTGCTTTATAATGTTGTGTTAGTTTCTGCTTTATAACAAAGTGAATCAGCTATACGTATACATATATCCCCATATCTCCTCCCTCTTGTGTCTCCCTCCCACCCTCCCTATCCCACCCCTCTAGGTGCTCACAAAGCACCAAGCTGATCTCCCTGTGCTATGTGGCTGCTTCCCACTAGCTATCTATTTTACATTTGGTAGTGTATATATGTCCATGGCACTCTCTCACTTCATCCCAGCTTACCCTTCCCCCTCCCCGTGTCCTCAAGTCCATTCTCTACGTCTGTGTCTTTATTCCTGTCCTGCCCCTAGGTTCTTCAGAACCATTCTTTTTTTTTTTTAGATTCCATATATATGTGTTAGCATATGGTATTTTTTTTCTGACTTCACTCTGTATTACAGACTCTAGGTCCATCTATCTCACTACAAATAACTCAATTTTGTTTCTTTTTATGGCTGCGTAATATTCCATTGTATATATATGCCACATCTCAAAACATTTTTAGATGGTGGAGTGAGAATAGCAGTGCCAAGCCAACGAATTTCCTGGTTTGCAATTTGAATGTCTGGTGCTAGCATCTACATCAGCGTCACAGCCACAGATATTCCTCAGTGCAGAGCATAGAGGTGTCCAGCTGCACTTTGCAGGGTTTCTTCTCCTTCTGCTGCTCCTTCTCCTTTTTTTTAGACAGTCCTAATAAGGATCTGGACAGCCAGGTTTTAGTTCTCAGTGACACCAAGTTGGGAGGGGGAAAGGAAAAATGGAAATGTTAATTACTAAAACGCACAAATGTTAGGAGCCAGTTTACCAAGAGGTCAAAAAGCTCAGAGACAGTGGGCATGGCTAGAATTTGACAACCCACAAGAATACACTATATTTTTTCTATTGACACATAGAATTTCTCTCTATAATTATCCCCATTTCTATCAAAGATAATCGAAGAATATTTTGTTTGAAAAATATAGTCTCATTAAATTGGGCCTAATCATTTACATAAGTGCAGCATGAGTAGTAACATTTATCCCCAGACTGAAGAGACCTCAGAATTACTAAGAGGCAGCTGTGAAGCACCACCTGTGTACCCTAACAGGCAACCTAGCTTCTCTGAACCAAAATTTCCTCAACCGTAAAGTGTGAATCCTAATACCTATTTAACAAAGGTGATGGCCAGGGTGGGGAGAGATTATGTATATGAAAATGTCTGGATTTAGTAGCCACTCTTCATTACATCTGCGTTGAAGAGAAAAGAATATCACCCATAGTCTGCTCATCTGGCTTGGTCTCATCTCCAGCAAGCTGGTTGTCTTTTCCTGTGAGCTGACAGTTCTCTAGCTAATTGTGTCAAATTCAAAGATGCTGTACACCTCGTTCTCTCCAAATTCATTTAGCTGTCAGCTCCAGCAAGCTGGCATATGATCCTACAGCATTTGTGCAGCCCTGGAAAGAGATGTTCCTGGGAGAAGCATTACAGCATGAGCCGTGTGGGCTCCACAGCCACGGAACCGGGAACTGCGGGGTTTCATTTTCTAACATTATTGCAGTATGTTAAGATATTTGGCTGCCTGTGTCTGAGGCAGCCCTGGGTCTTTGGGCCTGCGTGACCAGGCGCCCAGATCAGAGACGGACCCCAACAAACACATGTGAGGGGTGCAGCATTCCCTATCGCCTGAAGTAACCATAGCAACGGTTCAATCTTTTCTCCCTGCTCCACCCCG